ACCAGGAAAAAATATAGGCTTCAAAAAAGTTGAACAGAACCATCCCTCTCATATTTCATATGATCGTACTGGTATTAAGCTACTAAATGTGGATATTATTCAGTTCTCTTTGAATTTTTGATCTATTTATAAAATGATGTTTTTTTTGTACACATTATGTAACTACACCGCGATTACTCCTGACTATTCTAATCGGTTTAAATATAACTTATTGTTGGCGTGCTTTGAGTAAAACTTCTATGCTTCTAAAAAAAATGGCATTATGTCAAAATTTTAATCCACCATAAATATGCTAGGTTAGTATGTTTCGTTACACTCAATAATTTTATTTGGTTATGGCGCCCCAAAATGTACGCCACAGTGGTTGTGTGAATTTTATCATTTGTTGCGAGTGAGTTTATGTCTTTAAATCGACGGCTTAAAGACATAACTCTCGTAAATAAGAAAATTTTGGGCTTTCAATTTCATAGGATTACACTAATGTAAACTTTTCATTAAATAACGGAACATGTTTAATATTGTCATTATTGTTTGTCCAATAACAACAATGTGTCATCGATTTGATGAGACTTAGTACAGTAATGATATAATGTATGAATGTAAAAACCAATATATTCGCTCTCACCAACCTATAAACGGGAAGGTTTGGAAAATTCATAACTATCAAAAAATCTCAAATATATATCATATGATCAAAGATTCTCGACCGTTTTTTTTTTCATAAGCTACTTTTATAAGTGCAAAAGTTATCCACAAACGATGGATGGATTGGAGAATTACTAAAAAAACTGGTATGGGCATGACCGTGACGATTTTCATCTTACGTATCATTATGCTATGCAACCAAAATTACATCTTTTTAGTTAGCTTTGTATGCGAAATTACAGAATTTTTACACATGCTATAAAAATGATGGCATCATATGTAAAATTATATACAATTTTTTGCACGCTATGTGTACATTATTGGATAGTTATTGGAGCTTCGCATCCAATAACTATATATTATTACGCACACTATAAAACAGTCGTAAAAAAAAATTAAAATTATTGGATTTGGCCAATCAGATCTTAAAGGGTACATTTGCACCAACGATCATTATTTTATAATATTGGATAGGAATTCTTATAGAAAGCTCATAAAATTTTCCAGTTTTCATGAACCAAAGTATTAATTTTAAATTTGAAATAAAACAAAATTAGTGATATCATTTTAATCGCAGTTAATTACATTAAGAAAATCTTGAAAAAATGGGGAATTTTCAGTTGGATCACTAACAATAGCGTCAATTGCAACTTTAAAATTTGAATTTGTAAGGAGATCCGAATATACAAACTGACCATCATAACTCGGGTTTCCATTACAGGTAATAGTCAATGAACGATTTGATACAATTTTTGCAACACCAATATTTTTAACAACAGCTATTGTAATAGAATCCCAAAGATAATAACCAGTATAAAATCCAGATTCACCACCACGCCAACTTGCGCGAATAACAGACAAAAGATTATATGTAAACACACCATAAAAGCTTTTGAGTTTTGAGAGTTTGTTGAAAAGTGTAGGACTAAATGGATTTTGACTTGTAAAATCTAATGGTACCAAAGTAATATCCAAGTCAGAAGCAAGCAATTCTTGAGCAGCAACGCAATCAAGAAAAACATTAAATTCAGCATGAGTATTGTCTGGTACGCTAAATAAATTTCCAGGGACATTTAAATTACCGCCCATCCAGAAAACTTTGTCAATTTTTGCAGAATAAGTTGGAAAAGCACGTAAAAGAATAACAATATTGGTAGCTGGACCAGTTAATATAATTGTGGGTTTTTTCCCAGTTTGCTGAATCGTAGAATCAATGAGATCAGCAAAGTCCTTAGTAATATTAAAACCTTTAATAGCGTCATACCATATCCGTTTTGACAACCTAAGTTGTCGATTAATACCGCGTAGCAAATCATGATCACGTTTTCCATTAGCGCCTTCCGGAACCGATTTTTGATAAGTGCAGCCTGGAGTACTTGGGTTTTTGTCCAATTCATACAGGGAATAATCAGCGCCAAGTATGACTGGAAGGTTTTTTCCGGGATAGACATCATCCAC